TCTTTCACTGTAATTTGAATAAATACCCAGATTTCTTTCATCAGAAATATTATTTTTAGAAATTTCAAAATTTTCAGGAACTTTCCATAAGTGAGATTCTGTGATAGAAAATATAAAAAACAAAAGAAACACAGCGCACAAAATACCAGGAGATTGGTCTCTCATCTTAGTCTTAAAGGGTTAGAAATGCTATTCCTAACACAAATAAAAATAATTAAAAAATATTTTTCGCATGCTAATATAGAAAAAATGTTTTAGAATATATAATATAGAATAAAGCGTGATACAAAAACTTTCTACAATAAAGCTGATTTTGCAGAAACTAAATGATAACATCAAACCTTTAGAATGATTTTAATTGTTTTGTTATCAAAATAAAGTTCACTTTCCTAACGCATTGTTTTTATCTGTATACATATCATTGTCTAAAAGATTTTAATCAATAAAAAACGCATTATCGAGATTCTATTAAGTTTGCTTAATTGTATTGTCCAGAAAAAGTTTCTTAATTTAAACCGATACCATTTATTGAATTAAATTTAATATTCGTTTGAAAAAAATAATTATTTATTTTTTTTGTTTTTAAATATATAAACAGTTTGAAACTTATAACTTTGATTTCCGGTGAATATTTGAAACAAAGTAAAACTTTCTTACATCGCATTGCGTTAAAAAAGTCATTCATAAGAAAAAACGTTAAATTAGGGTAAAGTCAAACATAGTAGTTAATGACTGCACTGTCACAAATTACAACTTGAAAAGCTATTCATTCATTAAAAACTAGCTCATAAATTCATTAATTCACCCATGTACTGCTTCGATGTTAGAACAATTTTGTAATTTCTTGATTCGCCTATACTTCAATGAGGATTCCTTCCCACTGCGGAATATTTGTACTCATAGTGTTTAAAAATGTGATTTTTGAAAAACAATTTCCTTTAAAGAATAGACTTTCTATTTCTGCTGTAACAATTAACTAATCGCTTAATTTAGGACAACCTTTTTATTAATTTAATGAGAGAAATTTTAAAAATTATTATTAGAAATAATGGCTTCAATGCCATTAATTAACTAGAATTATGATTTTTTTTACCAGAAATGTCATTATCATACAGTACGGTAATTTTAACAGTATTCGTTTCTCCGTGTATATTCGGCGAAGTTTTTCTCAAATTGCGTTTCCTTATTTAACGCCAAAACACGTTGACTATACCGGTCAATAGTTCGTTTAATTCATTAAGCAGCTTAAGTACTCGCCGCCAAACTACATTTTAAATTAGTCATTGATCATTTAGTTGCTTAAATAAAAAAATGACTTTAATTTTGTTCTTCTGCATTTTTACAAGTAATTTTTTGCAAAACAAACATTTTATCAAAAGTAAACTTCTTATATAACATAATAATCCCTATAACAAATAGCAGAAAAGTAACTTGAAAAAAATGAGGTCAATTAATAATGGAATATAAAAGCAAAAATATGATCAAACTATATAATTAGTTAACATTAATTTTGCACACAATAAATACTTTAGGTAATTAATATTAACCTTAAATGCTCTAAAAATACATATAAAAATATGACGAATTGCCGGAAAAAGGTACCTAATATATTACTCGATGTTAAGTTAACGATGAATATTTATTTCGTTTCTTTTTCAATATTTTGCCTCAAATCGATACACATGTATTGTTAATTGTATGTGATAAACTCTCTAACTGTGTTAGATGCAAGCATTCATCGATGTTCTACAAAATTGCTTTCAGAAGTTCATAATTGTTATTAGTAAAAACAGTTCATTTTCATCATGGTGGAAAATTGTTTTGTGTGCCGAAAAATAATTAATTAAGTTCTGATGCTCTAAGGTTTTGCGACTGATTAATGTTTTTATTTTATGAAATCTTTTTATTAAAAAAGTAATTTTATGAATCTTTGATTGTTTTAAATTTTGACATATCTCACCTGGATTTTAAGTCTGTTTTCAAGTCTTTAAAAATACAAGGAAAACTGAAAGTATTGCTCGTGAATATTAGCGTGAACTATAACTATCAACTATATAAGTATAAACTATCTCCTTACAATTAATAATCTTAAGTGACACCAGCACCAACCACTATTTTGAGTGTTCAACATTTCGATACATTTTGTTTTGATGCATTATAACAATTAGAAACTTAAAATACAGAAAATATAAAGAAAAATGTAAATATTAAAAAAATATAATTGATTGTTAGTTTCTGTTCTATCAACTGTTAAAACTGTAATAAAAAGAACGATGTTAGCCGCACTGTATGCTACATAAATATAACTACATTACCAGACATATAACATGCAAAAAGTGTCAATTTTATTTATAAACTTTACTGGAGTTATTTTAGCTCTGAAATTCCCATTTGTTTGATATTTATTTCAAGTTTAAGGGTTTTTTTGCGATTTTTTTCCTTTCACGTTTTGAATAAGAACTTTTTATCCATTATTGAAGAAAACTTTGTCTCTCACTCTCGACTTCTTGTCAAAAGTAACAAAAATCAGCAAATATATTATACAAAAAACTAGAAACTGAGAGTTTAGATGTTGTTAGGTATAAATCTTAACGTTTCGATCGAAATTTTTTTAAAAAACTCAGGAGAAATCAAAAATATTTCAAATTTGAACTGTTATAAAATATATGGTTATCGTCATTGATTGTTAACAAATAAAATGACTTCTTATATATTACTCCCTTTTGTTGCGCATATTCTGTATTCCTAAACATAAATATATTCCAAAGTATAATATATGTTTTTATTTGTATTATATGTTTTCAGTTAATTACTTTCTCAGATTCACTTTGTTATGATTGATATCTTAACAAATTTGCTTTCATAACTAATTATAACATTAAATTAATTATAAATTAATTAAAAATAAATTAATTAGAATATTATTTAAAAAAATCCGTTTTTATAGACTGTTACGAAAAACAACAATGAATGAGAAGTAAAAATGGTGTCTGGTATTCGAAGCAGAGTTAACCTAGTTATTTGTGGTTATATAAATAAAGATGTTATTTTTAATATGTATTTTGAAATGACACGAGTCAAGGTTTTTTTTAACAAAGTTCAAGTCTCTTATTTTTCTTGAAGCAATATTTTTTGTAAAGTATATTTTTAATGACACAATTGATTTCTAAAAATTTTTATCAAATATCCAATAATGTTATAAAGGTAAGATAAAATTTTACAAAAATGCAGGGAAAAATGTTTTATTTCCACATATTTCAATGGTTTGCGTCTGTATTTATATTTTTTTATTAAAACAAACTCTTATATTGTTTATTTTTTTGTGTGAACGGAAGTCTTATCTAAGTTTCCTTTTTTTTTTTTTTTGCTCTTTTCTTTTTTTTAATTTTGTTCCTTTACTTACCTCTTATATTACACCCGAGCAGCAGTAGATTTTTTAACATTTAACTGTACACTAAAAAATTTATTACCTTAATGAACTCAATAAACTTACATTTTATTTTTACTTAGTTGCCATGAAACTCTTTCTTTAATATTTTTTTAAACATTTACCTGTCTAACTAAACAGTAATGATTTAACTTGTTTATCACTAATAGTTTAATATAATTGTGATTTTATTTTATTAAAAATAAAATCGATAAAATTTTAGGCAAAAGTGTTTAACTGGTGCCAATAAATTTGTAAATTATTTTCAAATTAAATTATTTTTCTACAGAAATTGTGTCGTCATGACACTGCATTAAAGTGTGCTATTTGTACAAAATTATCCAATGAGAAAACTTAATTGAAGCATTTATTACTAATAGGAAATAATAGTATTACGAACAAATTTACAATGAAAAATATGTAACATAAATAGGAATGAGCACTGTAATCTTCCATTTTGTAGTTCCCAACACTCTATAGATTACTGATACTCATTATTCAACCGTAGGTGCTAAGTCTTGCTCAATGTTGGTCTTGAGGGATTAAAGGTCGTCGCCAACTTCAAAAGGGATGTCTTGTATTGATATTCTTTATCTGATACTTTAGAAACATTGTTTAAAAATGTTAAAGATTTATACGTATAAAGACTCTGAAATCAATCTTTATTCATAATGAGCAAAAATAAGCTTTGAGAATATTTATTTTGTATGTCTAGAAATGTGCTTCATTTTTTTAAAGTTTGAAACATTTATTAATAGCCAATTTTTATCACTTTTACTGGGTTCGTTTTTTGTAAGCAAAAATTTAAAATGCGTTTTGCATAAAGGACGTTTTAAAATGGTATGAAATGAAAGGATATAATTTTTTTATATTTAATTATTTAATTTTTTTATATTATTTAGTTGGCCTTTAAACAACTTTTCAAAGTAATCATCGCACATATTTTACAACTAGTTTACGACAAATCATGTATTAAGTATTTAGTAAACATTAATCATCTTATAAATAAGTACTCTATGATTGGTTTCTACCTGATGGTCTTAAGCCCTTACGATATTTGGAGTGATAACGAAATGACGAATAACGTTAACTTAATATGTTTAAACTTTTGACAGCTCTTAAAAATTTTAGATCTGCGGAAAACAAGAAGTAGTAGTCGTGTACCTGAGAATGCAATAATTACAGAATTGTTTATTAGTTAGTAAGTTAGTGGGGTGAGATGGAAATTTACTGTTGGATTATAGGGTTTTACATACTTGTTTAAATTATTTATATTTAAATAATAGTGGGGAAAATCATAGTAAATCAAATTAAATACTAAATAAACAATAAAATGATAGAGAACAAAATTACATTTTTGAAATATTCAAATCAATAAAAACGAAAAAACTTTCAAAGTAAGCATGGATGCCAGTATTCTTAAAACTAGCATAATTTTATTGTAAAGATATTGTTAATTATAGTTAATTAATCTAAACCTTTTGTTAATGTCATTAGCGAATAATGTAATTTGAAGTTATAAAGTTTAGTCTCAACATCCTCAGTTAAAAGGTATTAAATAAGTAATATAAAATAAGCGATACTAACTAAAACCACAAATATACATTAATTTTAGTACATAATTTCAATTATGAAAGTAGGTTTTTATTACATTTTTAAAAGTTATTTTCTATTTCATTTTTGAAAGTTATTTTCTATTTCATTTTTAAAAGTTATTTTCTATTTCATTTTTAAAGGTTATTTAAAACTCCATGATTTGAGGATTCAGACAGAGACGTCGTAATTAATAACGATAATTAATTTGCAAATATTTTTAAAAAAATCGAATTAAAAGCTTAAGTTAGTTATTTGTACTGCAAATGAGTAAATAAAGGTTGTGTTAGAAAGTATTAACAGGGCCGTCTTAGTAGCATGCAGGACT